AAACTTCAAAATCTCACTGTTTGTGGTCCAATAATAACTGATTTACATAGTTTGTACAATAAATTATTTTAAAATATTATTCATTTGTCAATAAAAATTGTTAGGTGTGTGAATGATGGGATGAGACAGATGATTTACAAAAAAATAATATGCTAGCTAGTATCTGTGCTTATTGCCAATACTGTTTTGCACGTAACTTATGTAATCCCTACTAGTACTAAGTCAGCACCATGGAAAGGAAACTTTCAGCTAAATTAATTATTTTTTAAACTTTGGATGTTTCCTTCTTATATAAGATTTAGGACCCACTATTAAAACTGAAAAGTACCAGACTGTTTTAAAATTTTCTTACTGTTAAGGACCATGGCTCTTTTTACATTTCTGCATTTTTGGTATTTAGCTGTAATTTTCCGCTTATTCAGTTACTGTACCCGCACATATTATCTACAGTTTTTCTCGCCATTAAATGGTCTTTCTAAAGATACCATTGTTTTCATCATATCATATAAATTACTATAAAGAAATTATAAAATATGATGAAATTTTTTTTTTTTTTTTAATGCACTTTTTCTAACTTTGACCCCAATAATCTGTTACGCATCTACAACCGCCAAAAAAAAACACCCATGCTAAATAGTTTCTAAATGTTGTCCTGAGTTTAGAAATGTCCAATGTTAACATTTTCTTAGCTTTTTTTGGAAAGTTATAGGGCTATAAGTACAAGTAGCACTTTGCTATTTCCAAACCATTTTTTTTTTCAAAATTAACGTTACATTGTAACACTGATATCTGTCAGGAATCCCTGAATAACCCTTCACATGTATATATTTTTTTAAAAGAAGACAACCTCAGGTATTAAACTTGGGGTATTTTGACTCTTTTCATGCAACCAGTTTACCACCAATCTATTCCAAATTGTAACAAAATAATAATAATTTGTGATTTTTTTTTTGACACACATAGCAATTTAAGAATACATGTACGGAGAACTTTAAGGGTTACTGCCAAAGAACACCCCAATATGTGTTCAGCAACATCTCAGGAGTACAGTGATACCCCCACCATGTACAGGTGTGTCGGGTTCTCTGGGGGTTAAAAGACCTTATTTGGAGGGTGCGCATTCCAGTTTTCCAACTTGGAATTTTCTCAGCTGGTCATCATGCACCCATGTCCTATTTGGGCCATTTTTGAAGCCAGCCAATACAATTTACCCCATCAAACCATATATTTTTGAAAGGTAGACACCCTATGGTATTTCAAATGGTGGTATTTTAACACTTTCAATGCACTAATTCTACCACCAGTCTTTTTCAAACTTTTGGGTAGTCATTTTTTTGTGTTATTTTTCTCTCACATTGTACTTTAGGCATGGATTCCCAGTTCCTTTTATGTGTTACTGACAAAGAACACCCCCATATGTGTTCAGCAAAAACTTACACAAAATATGCACTTTTACTGGTGATTTCATCGTTGTGAACAGTTTTACTGTTTTAAACACTCATATTTGTCTCCCGAGTATAACAATACCCCCCATGTACATGGTGTTTTGGAAAGTAACAGGGTCAGTATAGGGCTTGCACAAGTCAGTTTGCCAGATTGGTTTCCTGGATCTGTGTTGCCCTTTGAGACCATATAGTAGCCCAGGAATGTGAAATAACCCCATCATGGCACACCATTTTCAAATGTAGATAACCCAGGGTATTTCAAATGGGTTATTTCCAGTCTTTTGTAGTAGCCACTTAGTCACAAACACTGGCCAAAGTTAGCGCTTTTGTTTGTTCTTTATAAATGTTATACTTTTTTTAAATTTACAATATATATATATACATATACACACACACACACACACACACATATACATACACACACACACACTTTTATTTCCTATATATGTATAATATGATATATTATACATATATAATTTCATTATAAGTGTATTTTAAGATATATATGTATATATCTCAAAGAAACTTGTATATTATATGTATAATATAATATATATTTTTTATTTATTTTTTTAAACTTTTTAACAGCCTGGAGGATTGTCTGACAGCTCAGACAGTCCCCCTGCTGGCAGCTCCTAGACTCCTATTGCGGCGGTGTGATCACAGTGATCACATGGCCCTGGAGGGTCGAGGTGGCCGGAGCTGCTCAACCATGATCGCAACGGATTGTCGGTCCCAGCTAAGTCCAGGGCTCCTATTTGTCGCGGTCATAGTAGGTACATCTGCGGTCCTTAATGACCATTTTTTTTTGTCAGACGTAAATAGTACGTCCACGGTCGATAAGGGGATATACATAGAATATATATGAGCTTATGATGTATTTAACAAATTTTGTTGGACTTTAATGTCGTTGACCAGTTTTCCATGGAAACCATTATTGCTTTCATTTCTTTTTGCCACCTTCATCTAACATTATCATACAACACACTTGCAGGACTTCTCGCGGGTGGCTCCCTTCCTATGGAATAGCCTGCCTACCTCCATCAGACTTCAATCGTTTAAGAAGTGCCTTAAACCTCATCTCTTTAGGAAAGCCTATGGCCTCCCAGAGTAACCTCTACCTCACATACCTACCCTTGCTCTATCCTAAAAGGGAGAACTCTATTCTCTCCTCCAGATCTGCTTCACTCCCACCTTATTTGTTGATACCTCCTGTCCTGTTATAAATCCTATTTTATATGACAATATAAAATGTCAATAATAATAGTCCAAACAAAGAGACAGCATCTGTGCACCAAAAACTACTTAAGTGTAGTCGCTGTCCGAGCGAGCTTCCTTTATGAGATTCTCACTCAGTGCTGACTCGTGCCCTTGCCTCCCAATGGGGAGGCATTGGCTTGTCTGTGATCATTAAGACTGATGATCTCCAATTGAGGCAAGACGGTCACAGCGAGACCGGCGTACTGGGGGAATTACGGTAAATACAATAGTTTTTAAATGGATACAGGGCCCCAATAATCTAAACAGATACTATAACCCTCTAGCATTAGGAATACATTTTTGTATTGCCAACGTTAGTGTTCCTTTAAAGCAGTTCAGAAAGATAATGTATCAAAAGGGTTCACATTTTTCCCTTCAAATAAGATGAAATATGGCTCAATGCGCTTGTTTAAATCACATTCTCATTATTATTTTATAAGCACTGCATTTGAGCAGAGAGGCATTATAGCAGGATGGTGTTGCAGCTTCAGTTTAAAGACTGAAAGAGATCCTATGGCAAGGCTGACAGAGCTTCCAGCTGTACTGAAAGGACCAACAAAGCTGTAGCACAGATGCACTGCAAGAGACGACAAAGCTTCAGCAGATTCATTGTATGGACTGAACCAATGCCTGCTGCAATGCAGGGCTGCAAGAGCGTCAGCCATATTGCAAACAACAAAAGAGTCCCAGCAGCACTGCAAAAGGCTACATTGACTCTGGCCTCTTTGCAGTAACTTAAGACTTGGGCTTCAAGACATGGAAGTAAAGACATGCAGTTTCAGTTATTCAGGACAGGCGTAAGATTTCACATGGAAAAGTAACAGGCTTCGAGAGGAACACAAATGTGACAAGAGGAGGAGAGGAAGGCATTGGACATTATGTTTAAGCATCATGCTTCAAGGCAGTGTTACTCATCGACACAGAAAAGGAAGCAACAAAGCCTGAATACATAGTAGCAATTTTCAGCTTACTTCAAAAACAAACAAACATTCTACTGGCTTTATTGTTTAATTACATAGTTTATCACAACTTGAAAATTCTTAAGTTCTGTTGCTATTATGAGTGTAACGAAACTTACCTAATTACATCATGCACAACGAATATTTACATTAAACAATTAATAAAATGTAAAGGTTACTTACTGGGAGCAATGGTTGCATGTGTGCGACAAGGTGGTATCGGATAAGGCACAGGCTTATGTGGATTATATGTTGAAGGGGCCTGTATGGAGAGAAACTTGACATTAACATAAACCTATTGATCTTGCGTGAATTACAGTAAATGGAAAAACCGTTTGCTTTAATTTTACAGTTCAGTTTTCTAAACACTATGTTTAACTGTTTTGTAAATTATTCACAAATTTTCTTTAAAAAAAAAAAAAAAGTAAGCAACTTTTTTTTATACAGGTTAGGTTTATAGAAAGGTTTGTGTCAAGCTGTGGTTCATTTCTTAAAGGGACACAGTAGCTACTTCATCTTACAGTGCCAATTGGTGGTATGATTTGGTAGGACTAGAATAATGAGTATAATCCCTGCCTTAGCCACACCTCTAGTGGGGGTGGAGCTATGGGTTGTAAGAAAACCTTATTTAATAATAAACTGCTTGAAAATGGTTTAACACTTAATGGGGGCGAGGGGGCGGCATTGCCAGAGGACTCCAGGTACTGTAACTAATTCAGTGAGAATAAAAAATAATTATAGAGTCTACAGTGTCACTTTAAAGAAAACTGATATACAATTTAACAATTTAAATAGAATGCGAAGAATGTGATTGAGGCAGAGTTTAAAGAAGAACATGGATAAGAGTTAATATTATGAATAATCAAAAGAGATTAAAGAAAATGGACAATGAGACAAGGAGTGTGCACAGCCAAAGGTAAGAATTGACATATTTACTAGTGCAATCCTAGTAAAGTTATTCATGGGTTTCTGAAATTTGCCAGAAATGTATCACTACGTACGGGCTTGGATGGTCCGAGAATACGTGCTGCAATTCCTTTTCCTTCACTTGCTCCTTCATCGCCATCTTTCTTAGCTGGTGTTCCCTAATTAAAAAAAAATAAAATAATCATCAACATTTTTCAAATATGTCCAGAAACATTGTGCTAGCTAATAGTACAAATACAGATTGCTTATTCCTTAATATCATCAGTATATTAATTATATTATATTATATTATATTTATATATAAAACGAACTGAAAATTATATTTTAAAGGTGAATAGTGATGTTGCGAACCGTTTGCGAACTTCCCGCGAACGGCTAGCCACGGTTCTTCGCGGCGAGCTCCGGTCAGCTGACACATCCCGGCCAATCTCCAGCAGACCCTCCCTCCATGACCCTCCCACCTCCTGGACAGCATCCATGTTGAAGCTGCCTTCAACATGGATGCTGTCCAGGAGGTGGGAGGGTCATGGAGGGAGGGTCTGCTGGAGATTGGCCGGGATGTGTCAGCTGACCGGAGCTCGGAACCGCGGCGAGCCGTTCGCGAACGGTTCGCGACATCACTAAAGGTGAACAGTCACTTCACAAGATTTGTAAAGGAACATTACAAACACAAAGCACTTCAGCTTCCGGAAGTGCTCTAGGTGTCTAGAGCCGTTTCTAAAAGTGCCGATTTCAGAAAGAAAAAAAAACTTCACCAAAATGCCTCCCCAGCTGTCACTCTGATAGCCAGGAAGGTTTTTTTTCCCCCATGTCTGATAACTCCACAGAGCTAACGGAAAGGCAGGTGCTGGGCTATGCACACCTGCCCCCTTCGGAATGAGCTGTATTACAGCACACCTGCCCCCTTCGGAATGAGCTGGATTACATCACACGTGACGTGCCCCTTTCGGAATGAGCTGGATTACATCACACTGCCCCTTTCGGAATGAGCTGGATTACATCACACGTGCCCCCTTCGGAAAGAGCTGTATTACAGAACACGTGCCCCCTTCGGAATGAGCTGTATTATAGAACATGTGCCCCCTTCGGAATGAGCTGGATTACAGAACACGTGCCCCCTTTGGAATGAGCTGGATTACAGAACACGTGCCCCCTTTGGAATGAGCTGGATTACATCACACTGCCCCTTTCGGAATGAGCTGGATTACATCACACGTGCCCCCTTCGGAAAGAGCTGTATTACATCACACGTGCCCCCTTCGGAAAGAGCTGTATTACAGAACACCTGCCCCCTTCGGAATGAGCTGGTTTACAGCACACCTGCCCCCTTTGGAATGAGCTGGATTACAGCACACCTGCCCCCTTTGGAATGAGCTGGATTACAGCTCATTGAGAAGCATGGAAAAGCCCCAATTGTGTACGCTCACAAATCCAGCACAGAGACTGTAACAAAAAAAAAAAAAAAGAGAGAGGGTTTGCAAAGGCTGCAGACAGCAGGTTTGCAGCTTTTGTAAGAGTTTTTTTTCCCATATAAAAATACATGTTTTCTTTATGGTTATATCTATTGAAATGTTAAATATATTTAGTTGATAGCATGCTAACTTATGTTTAACAAATAATAATATGCATTTGTTAGGTCTGAGAAAAAAAAAAAAAACTTAATGTAGAAATTGTTACTGCACCATCCTGAAACTCAGTGCATCTCCATCTTTGCTACATAGAAATCATGGTGAAAAGCTGAGCATACTATGTTCAGTGTTTCAGTTTCCCTCCTCCTATGCAATGTGTGCCCTGACCGTGCGCTGTACTTAACTGGACTGTGTGCAATTCCTAAATCTTTAATATACATTTAAAAGAAAATAGATGCACATGAAAAAAGGGAAAAACACAAGCTACAGGTGATTTTCAATGTTTATTCTGTGTTGTAATTTTCAGAAAACTGTTCCCCCTTAGTACTCATACTAATAACTCTACACCATGAATATAGATAAAAAATAGAGTTTACATTTTATGTGGGTGCATTCTCCAAAATGCTGAGTGCACAGCTGCACTATTGGGTAATTTGGTAAACTCTATTTGAGTTGTGGGCCACCGCTCAAGAAAACAAGCAGGAGACTAACATTTAAAAACTTTTCTAAGCAAAGTTTTTAATTCTATAAAGCATACTGACTGGCCAGAACAGGCATAGGCAACCTTCGGTACTCCAGATGTTTCGGACCACACCTCCCATGATGCTTTGCTAGCATTATGGGTGTAAGAGCATTATGGGGGATGTAGTCCACAACATCTGGTGTGCCGAAGGTTGCCTAGCCCTGGGCTAGAACATGAGACTCTGTTGAAGGAATACTATAGGCACCCAGATCACCTCATCTCAATGAATAATCTGGGTGCCATGTGCCCCTCATTTTAATCCTGCATCTGAAAACATTGACGTTTTGCAGTCTGACAGCCACTATAAATGCTTACGCAAAATAGTGGAGCATAACTCCACTATATCTATCAGATAGTCTCTCTGAGACTATCTGATTGGAAAAGCGTTCTGTTATTGCCTTGCATGTGCACTAGCCTCCCAATGCTATATGGGAAAACATTGGATTGGTTGAGATCACGCATCTTGATATTCTCAACTAAAGAGGAGGAGCTTCACTGAGTAGCCTGGTACTGCGAGGTAGAAAAAGGGAAGTAAACTTCCTTTTTTTACCCTTGTAGCAGGGAGAGGGGAGAGACGGGCACTGAAATGTATTCCATATTTGTATTCGTAACTTTAGAGGCAGGAGTTACTACTCATCTTCTGAACATCTCATTTTCACAAAATGTAAGAAAATGCATTTTTTGCATGAAAATAATATGAAATCATATTTTAACAAGTTACCAACAGTGAAATAACAGACATTTCATTTTGCACAATTTTTTTCAGCTAAACATAAATTTGAGCAATATCAATAATATTTCAATAAATTAAATGTTTAGTATTACTTTAAATACAAACATATAGTCCATATTCTGGCATTTTATTTTTTTTTTATGTATTATCAGCACACAGAGAATGACGTATTTTAGTTCGTAATAGAACTTTTGAAATGGGTTGGTAAAATTAGCCGAATTAGAAAAATTCTCCAACTCAATTCTGTTTTAAGTTGTGTTTTTTTGTTTGTTTTTTTGGCCTGAATAACCCTAAAAATATTTCATAGATGAACAAAGTGTAGATTCTTACCGGAAATACCCCATGAATGCGGCTTGGCTTCCCCTTGGGATACGGATTTCCAGGTATCATTCCACATGAAGAAATCATGGCATTCGGGGCTTTGCAGCCACTTTTTGCAGCCTGCAAGAAATACTTATATCAACCACACCCTCAAGAACTTAAGAGACTCTCCAAACACCATAATATTTTTTTATTAAAATTGTATAGCTATGCAGATAAGCTGACATTATATACATGCCAATAACAATATCAATATCCTCCTTGCATAAATTGTAGAGAAAGGAGACCCTGGTACATGCTTAGAATGGCAGCAATCTGCAAAAATCGTCAAAGCTATAAGCCCACTGCCCCACTCAAATATGCACTCTACATCCTCTGAGGGGGTCTCTCACAGCTTTTATGAGTTGCAGACATAACTAATTCAATAACTCAAATCATAAACAAGAGTTGAGCGAATATTAAGATATAGATCTATATAACTCCTATAATATTTAGTCCTACAATTTGTAGACATAAAATTATAAATCATCTACACTTCAATTAAAATTGCACTGTGTATGACATTAATAACCACCTGTTCAAGAATTTTACGGCAACGTTTCTTTTCATTAAGATTAACTTTGAAAAGATCCTCAATAGGTCGATAGTTTGAAGCATCAAGTATGTTTCTGTTTCGGGAAAAAAAAATACAGCATTGATTGGACATCAAAAGGCAAATATCAAAACACTCTTCTGTAGGCTCGTGGCCTATTAGTAGCTCCCCATTCAGAAAAGTGAGTGAAAAATATGTTAACGGGTTAACCACTTCAGTTAAGGCAGTGCCCAGGACCTCCTCGTACCATCATAACTTCATTGCAATGAAATTGTTCAGTGTCTCCCTTTAAGTTAGTAATCCTGAATATGTACATAAAATATAGATCAATATCAAATAAATGGCTAAATTATTTGAACAAAAGGAATGTAGAAACTAACAAGTTTACAAAGTAAACTGTAACACAAAATCTCTTGCCTCTAAGGAGCATTATCTAAACATGGCTGCAATCTCTCAGGATGCAAACAAACATCTCCCCCGTGGACATTATTGCAATCAGACTAATCTAGTTTAATAACAACACTCCAATTAGTGGACTGTTTATTGCAAGCCTACCTCTGATGATATAAGCAGATCATGTGAAACATACAATTATGTATAATGAGATGAATTCAGAATTTTTTTTTTTTTTTAAAAGCTGAAATAAAAACTTTATGCCACCTGGTATCCTAACATAACTATCATTAGTTTAGCAATAAGAAAAATAGATTTTCTTATTAAATATTTCCTCAAATATATTTTTAAGAACATCTGATCATTTTGCAACCTCAGATTAATTTATTGCACATTTGTTAAGAGGCTTTTTAACCAAGTAGTAATTTGGGGAGTAGAAAAAGCTAACATCTATTCCCTCCATCCCATTTGAATGAATGCTTTGGAATACATTGAGAATGTCACAGAACTGGCTATTCCAGAAATGTCAACCAGGCAACTGGCCCTAGAGTAAAACGAATTAGACTCCGTTCTCTTGCATTGTGATCTTATACACTCTATTTATTTTACTATGGATAGTCACCAGCATATTAATATGAATTAATTTCAATGTACAGGACTATAGGTGTTATTTAATAATCTCTAATCATGATTTACCGGGTGATATGTTTAAAGAACCACTATAGTGCCAGGAAAACACTCATTTTCATGGCACTATAGTGCCCTGAGGGTGCCCCCACCCTCAGGGTCCCCTTCCCGCCGGGCTGGATGGTGAGGAAAGGGTTAAAACTTACCTTTTTTTCAAGCACCGGGCGGGGAGATCTCCTCCTCCTCTCCTCCCCTTTGGCTGAATTGGCATGCGCGGCAGGAGCTGCGCACGCATTCAGCCAGTCTCATAGGAAAGCATTCATAATGCTTTCCTATGGACACTGGCGTCTTCTCACTGTGATTTTCACAGTGAGAAGCACGCAAACGCCTCCAGCGGCTGTTAATGAGACAGCCACTAGAGGCTTTAGAGGCTGGATTAACCTATTTATAAACATAGCAGTTTCTCTGAAAATGCTATGTTTATAAAAAAAAAAAGGATTACTCCTAGAGGGACCTGGCACCCAGACCACTTCATTAAGCTGAAGTGGTCTGGGTGCCAAGAGTGGTCCTTTAACTTTATGCCTAAATGGAATTTATAAAGATGTCTCAATGGACTTTGTACACAAGAACAAAATTTGGCACATTTGCACCTTTTTTACAATGACACGAAACACTGGATGGCAGAGAAATGTAGTTAAAAATTTTGGATAACAAATTCTGCACTTTTATGCATATTTGAATTCATGATCTG